TTTTTTTCCGGTGGAATCCCGACATCACAAATAAAGTTTATTAACCCCTTCACTTGTGCACTCCAGTTAATTCGACTGTGCTAAACAGGCCAAACTGTGCACACTCGAGAAAATTCGAGCGTCGTTGTATTTTATGCTGCAATAATTTTTCACACTCGAATATAATCAAGAATTGAAAATAACATTGTGGAATCTAAGAAAAAAAATCGTTAATATTTATCATTTACATAGGATTGTAAGCTATAACATTTATTCAAGAATAAAATATATGGAGATGCCAACTTGCCCCGGACAGCAAATATATATTTTAAAGTGGTAGTTTATCAATTGTGATTCTTGATTGAATAAATTCAATTTAGTAGATTTTTATCCACCAGTATTTCTAAATAATTCTTAGGCTTACGTAATTCACCGCTCTGTATGTATGCTATAGAGCTTGGTGCAACATCTCCACATCACTCCTTAAAAAACTCAAAACATGCCAGAACAAAATCCTCAGGAAAATAACAAAAGCAAGATGGTTTATCAGAAATAAAAACATACATCGCGACCTAAACATAGATTCCTTAGATCATCACACTGCAAAGCTAAATTTCAAATTTTTTGAAAAAACCATTAATTGTGACACCGCAGGATTGAACGAAATTTTTACTTTTGAAAACTTAAGAGAAGACATAAACCTCAGACCGATGGCAGCTCATTTTTGTAGTGACGTAATTTTATCTAAAATTCAAAATATTTAATTTCCTTTTACTTCAACTGCAATCCAATTACCAAAAAGAACCACCCCAAAGATCAAAATTCAAGACGAATGGGAAAAAAGGCCGCTAACGGCCCCAGGCGCCCAGATAAATGTTGATGATGATGATGATGTATGCTATAGGAAGTTGCGCTTCGGCGATTTATTATTTATTTCCACTCAGATGAATTAGTTAGAGCCCCTAGCGGGGCTGATGCTAAGATAACCATCACATATGAGTATGAGAATGTATGCTACAGCTTTTAAAAAGCAAGCATAAGTAGTCAAATATTTGCAAAATTTTCTCTGCAGACATTTACCGTTTTTTTAATTATTTTGGCTGTTAGCATCAGGGGTGAAAATGAGACGGAAAAGAGAAAAGGCTGGTAGTAAAACCATTTTACTTCTTTCTTTTTTAAACTATTCAGCAGTATTTATTTTACCCTAAAAAAAGAAGCAGTTTTATATATATGCTAAAATTATAAAAGAAATCTTGGTAGTTACAGATATTTTTCTCAAAAAATAATGCTATAATAAAATGTCTTTCGTACCAGTTTTTTTCCCTTTTCCGTCTTGCTATATAAGGACTTTCAGCCATGGTTAGCATCTCTGCTAAAGCGCAGTATATCAAAATTTTTCCCCAAACGAAAAGCCCAAGTTCTAAAGTGTTTATTTACATTTAGAAAGATTTGATTTTTCATCGCCGATCTTTCTGATCGAAAAATCTGTGCGTTATAGGTAGTCCGATCAGACCATTGTGAAGGATGCCCACTTTCTGAACGAGTCACTTAATACAAAATCTAGTTAAAATAAGAAAGTGGTAGCAAATATAGGACTAAAAATTTATTTTATTTATGAATATTATTGGTTTGCCTTATTCACTTGTCAACCACTACAGATTCAATTCTCAAATATATATGATGAATTTCTCTCAATTACTTTTATAAAAGGTTTTTGGGTTCATGCACACAGCTGTTTCACTTTTTAAATAGTCTGCGCGGACTACTTATAAAAGATCGTGTGAAGGCTAAAGTGATGTAGGAGGTGATGGTTAAGATAATTGTGAATGTAATAAGCTGTAGAAGACTATTTTTAAACTATTCAATTATGAGGATAAAGATTTTTCATTATTTTATTATCAATTATCCTAAATTAGGTTTTATGTCCAGCAATTAAATTAGCAGTCCTTGTGCTATATCTAGTCTAATTATAAATTTGTTATTAAAGTATATACATAAGCTGAAAATGAATAAAATAAGCCGATTTGTGGTTTACTTCAGAATCGAAACTGAAAAGTTGGAAGTGTTTATTAGGGAAACAAATTATTTTATTAACTGATTTAACTATCTTATTTTCAGTTTAAAAAGCACGGTAGGAAATACAAATGCGATATTTTATAAATGATTTTTCATTTCATAATTTATTCAATATTTTGTTATTAGAAATATTATATATTATTTTTTAAAAATGTCATTTCTATATTATTCCATTTTTATATATTTACTTGAAATAATTTCATAAATGCAACCGAAAGATTAAGTAAATTTCGAATTACTGGATGGATTGAAATATAATCGGAGATTTCAAAATTCGTAACATCCGTGCCATCCTGTAATAAACAGTACGAATTCATGGGAACCATTCCACGGAACCCTAGGGTTCCGCAGAACATCATTTGGGAATAGCTGGCTAATAGAACATAAAGGACATAATAAAGAGCAAAGATTTTTCTAAAATTTTAACTTGGTTCCATAGTTGTCTATTAGTATATTTCTATGGTTAAGTATATATCACCAGTTATCTACAAATATATTTATCACTTGTGGTAACAAAATCATAGATATGTATCTTACTCAAAACAAAACGAACCCTATACCTCCAATGTATTCGACCGATCATCAGCTACGCAGCCCCTGCATGGAGCACAACCACTGTTAGTCAAAAAAAGAAACTGGAGATCACTCAAAATAAATTCCTCAGATATATCACAGGAGCCCCCAGATCCATGAGAATGAAAGATCTAAGACGAGAGTTAAAAATCAACAAAATAGATGAGCACATAGCTGAACTATGTGCAAGTTTCTTCAGAGATGCACTCTCTTGTCATACGTGCAATTACTTTAAAAATTTTGATTTTGAGCTCATCAAAGACAACATAAATTATAGCCCGGCAACCGCCTTTTTCCTATCCGACGGAGTTTTGTCCCGTAAATTTTGTAAATAGCTGTAAATACTTGTAAATAATTTTGCGCATTTATTATGTATTTCCCCTTTTCCCTGGGGCTATGTGGCTACTGTGCACCTGTGAAGCTCGGGGTAATACCTCGAAGGGAGGCGAGGCAGTCTGCCACAAAACCTCTTCTCTCTCTCTCAAACTTGTTTGTTCAATCTCACTACTTCATTTTAATTTTCTCTCAGTAAAAGATACTGAACCCCAACTTTCACCTTTCAGTTGCGCTTCGGCGATTTATTATTTATTTCCACTCAGA